CCCGGGCGACTCACGACCCAGGATTTGATCCCTGCTTGGCATACTCACTCCAATAGTAAGGCAAGCAAAAGAAGGGCTTATCGCCGCAACAGATTAGGAAGTTTCCCAAATTTTCCTTAATTTAGCTAAATTCTTCCCACTACCTAAATAACTTACTTTACCATATCTTGCACATATGAATGACCCCCAACCGCTCGAGCTACAGACCACGACTCCTAAGGACATGTAACATATTATGAATATGACTCCCTTCTTGAGCTCGATTCGACCAAGCGGGCAGTTGCTTCAGGTGTGCAGTGGCGTACACGTCTGCATTCACCCCCTCAATCAACGCGTCATCCCAAAGGACCAACCATGTTCTTAAGATTTTTCTAAATGAAATGGGAAAATAGTAAAAAAAATCGAGAAAAGCAAGTAAATGGCAACCACTGGCGACAAACCGATCACGTGCATAAGTTCGTGAACAATCGTCGCATAGTCGATACATTCGTCCTGCCAGTGACACTTGCTGTCGCCCGCCCACACGAGCAAAATCGGCATAGCAGCTTGAAAAAATTGTTTTGTAAGATCATGTACTCTCTAGAAAATCAAGCTTCGTTGCTATATTTGTGCATTTGTTACAGTGTTGCGATAAAAATCGTGTTCAGCTCTGGTTTGAGAGACTGATAGAAGGAGCTGGAAACCACACCTAAGCCTGAAAAGTATTCATTCCGCCGCTCCGAAGGGTGAAGCATTTCCGGCAGAAGAATGCTGAGGGGATTATAGGGGAGCAAGTAATATAAGTTGTTTTATGAATCATTATAAGTTACTGTGAAGGCCAAATAGGCATTCAAGCGCTCAAGTCCGAATGGAAATGGGGGGAGGGGTGGTTAGACGTGAAGTTGCACCAGGCTTTTCTTGTACGACTCTGCAGGGAGACAATTTGGAGCTTTCATGCACGAACTTCTAATGGGTTTTCGCTGCATTCTGAGGGGTCGACCTTGGGGCGATGCGCGAATAAAATGAAGACAGGAACAGAGATTGTAACCAATTGGTAAGTTGACCTATTCGAACTTCTCGAAACCACTCACCCATCCTAGCTTTGAGATGACTATAAAATCTCGATCTTGAGCAGTCTTGGGAACGAATCTAATGCACGTCTTCGCTTGATAGCCGGCGATCGCTCGTGCTATGACTGCTCGCTGTTTTTCTGCTAAACAACGAGCACAATTCATACTGAAATGAAAAGATCAAGAAGTAAACATGACTATGAGAAAACTGAACAGACATGGTGCAGTGGAACGTGACGCCGATTTACACGTGCACGGTGTGGGTACCAAATCCTGGCCCGTACGCCTCAAAGGCCAACAAAGCCTTTCTTCCCTTCAGGTTGCTCAGTGGTATCAGAATTATTCACAAAGATGCACACTTGTATTCAATTCGGCTTGCCCCGGCAACCTACCCTGGTAGGCAATTATTCAACATTACCATTACGATTTTTGACAACAACTAGAAGGATGGTGGACGAAATCCCAACCAAGTTGATACGGATTTCGAACCAGTCTAATGTTTTGCTTCTTTCTTTGGAAATAGGATAAAACACCCGCTGTTGATTAGTACTATTTCGGGGAAGCGCCATGCATTTTGCTTCCGTTCAGAGTTGTAGTGAGTGAATTGCTATATGGCCTGAACAATAACCCTTGGATGACCCGTATGACAGGTCAGGGAATTCTTCTCTCAATAGGTTGGGTGCCACTTCGTGACCCGGAGAGATAAAACTCTCATTTGGCCCGGGCGACGTACGATCCACCATTTCATCCCTATACGGCGCGCCACTTGCCACAATGCCGCCTCCACTCTTTCTTTTCCAGGGGGATGTACCGAACTGGAAACGCTTACTGTATGCAGCAGATAGCACATAAGGAAATTCGTCCTCAGGGCCACGTGATCGCGTCGCTGACGCTTACTCGGAATCCGCCTCACGTTTCGATCTTCTGAATTAGTTTTGTCGTCGACCGTTGAAAATGATAAATTTGAGCAAAAATTATTCGCCGATTTTTTTGGAATCGGCATTAGGCTTTCAAGATCTGGGGCGACGACTTTCTGAGATAATTGAAAAATTGCAGTTTCTGAGATATGAAAAGTCTAGTCGCAAACCTTCGTAAGAAACCGCTGATCGTTGTAGAGAGGTCGCATCCGTTGGCTGATTGGTGGGAGCAGAGCGGCATTGCGGAAGTCTTGAGCAGTAAGGTACGTTAATTGACCCGATGTTCTCGAGACGACGACGATGGCCAGGGGCAAAATCGCTGACCATAACGGCCGTCGTCATACGGCCGCTGCAATTTGGTGTAGTGAATTATTTTTACGACGTTGTTTTTTCTTGAGAATGCATGCGTCGATATGTGCGAATGAATGATAAAGCTTGACAGAGGAGACATTAATGGCGGTGTCAGTCTCCTTAACACTTAATGAAAATTTTAGCTTTGGACGTGATCAAATTAATAGGCTGATTATCAGCAGAGAAGACGTCCGATTACATTATCATAAGTAATTTTTTAAGAGAATTGATCCCATTTCCGGAATCAAGTCTATTTCCGGTAATCAAGCTCCCCATCCGTGAGAGCCGATCATTGAACATCAGCGTTAACCACGGGATTAAGTGCGTTATTCGAAATGGGTTACCTCGAAAGAAAGAGTGTCGAGGACATAACACAAACAACACTTAAAACTTAACAAACGACAAGGTTTTGCCCGCGAGCCAGCATGTGGCGCACGCTGCCACACAGGGTAGGAATTATGTAGGCATATGCGAACAGCGGTGCTAAAACGGGGATAAAGCTTGCTTTCCGAGCGGGGTCAGCCCTATGTTGCTACAAGTAGCAACGGGGGGGTCGTATTTTGATGAGTTTGTAGAGGGGGGGGGTCGTACTTTGCTTCGGTTGTAAGAAGTTGCATGTGATGAGTGGGGAGCGGCGCGGGAGAAAATTTGCCGTTTCAGCGCGCGTATATATTTTCCCTAGAAAAGGGAGCAGTTGAAATATGGGTGAAATATATGGGAATTGTAGGGAAATGTAGGGAATTTTTGCGGTTTTACGGTAAGTATATACCCCCCCCCCCCGCTCGACGGTAATTTTTTGGGGTAAAAATTGTTTTGAAAGAGGGGGTCGTATGAAACATTTCATGAGGGAGGGGGGTCGTAAAAACTTTTTGAAAAGTAGCAACGATAGGACCGACCCTGCTCGAGTTGTCTTTGAAAAAAGAGCTTTCCGCCGCCAGCAACTTCATAAGTCGCGTTTTCGCCCTAAATCTAATGTTAAGGCAAGGAATGAATGGAAGCTGCAGACAACCTCTTCGAACTGTGAGAGATAAAACGTAAGCTAGGGAAGGGGGCGGGGATTATTATTCATTAGGAGAAGGCTTCGTGAAGCATGTGAAGGCATGAAAAGTACGCCATTCATCCGTTGGGAAAAGTTCGAAAATGGGAACAGGGTGGATACGAAATTAACTGTGAGTTTTTTTTTTTGAAAATTTAGTCACGCAGGTCCTGGAAATATGCAGGGGTGGCCAAAAAGAGAGAAGCTTTCACTCCATATTTGAGACAGTATTTGCTACACATTGCTAAACTATTTTATGAATTGAACCGGACTGCTCTCAACTCCTACCCATTCCAATACACTGCTTTCCTTATCGTCCCTACGAGAATTATCGTGAACACTTCCTTTAAGATTGATCAAAAACCTTTGTTCTGCTTTCACGTGCTTCACTTACGATTCATCAACAGAGATTTGCGTCTAGGCATTTTACGTGTTCACTTAACGTTGCTTTCAATAGTTGCAATGGTGTGTGGCCATGGTTCAGATCGCTTTCAGCAAAGAGACATAAAGAAAAGTCAAACAATCGCCGAGCGATTCGTTTGCGACTATTGGCGGAAAAGATTTGAGCGCCAGCACGGCACCGCTTGGTTCACCTGAAGAAACAGAAAATGCCTCAGAGAACAGACGTTCCGTGGCAAAAACTGCAATGGATACTGATAGGAAAATTTCACAGGGATAGAAAACCATGGAGAGAAAACAGAAGCCAAGTAATCCTCTAAGTAGAGAGGCCGGAAAGATATCATTCCACGCTAAAGGAAAAGGAGAAACTATTTGGCGTGTATCCCACGAATCCGTTTTGATGTGCGCCATGTGTCCGATTTTTGTTCAGAATCGCTCTTGTCTTCTGAATGCGATCGGCCTAAACAATGGCCGACATTCACAAAACGATGCTTCATGTTTGACCAGGCGAATTTCGGCGGCAAATGAGCACAGAGAATTCAGAAGGACTGTTTGACCTAGGTATGATTTCTCCAGGATTTCAACCTTAAGGGATGCCTCAGTCTACACCTTCGCCTCATCTTTTTGAAAGTTATGGTGGAATTTAGAATGGGAAAGTTGGCAGATCGCTGGACTATTCTGATATGGAAACGAATAAGTAATGGTTCATTATAAAACGCTCAGATTATTCGCTACACGAGCGTGTTATCCCTTATGAGGCTGTTAGTTGGAACATTTATTTGATAGACCAATTATATAAATGTTCTACTTAATAACCCTGCACAATGCAACTTATAAGCTACAGCAGCCTGTTAAAGGGCCTGAAAGGGGATAGCTTCCAAAAAGCCTTTTCCAATGTTATGTGGCAGTGCGCCGCGTATTTGACTTCCACATAATTTTTTACTGGCACTGAATTTGGGTTCAGCCTAAACAACAACGCATCCACGGAGCTCGACTCTAATTTTCTGCAGTACAATTTTACAGTTACCAAGGAGGAGGGGGCAAAAAATCAGTTTGTCCTTGGCGCACAACAGCAAACCCCTCAACGCAGTCCCGCTGCTGATAGAGTTCAAGGGCAAAACATGATCCTCAGATGTTTTCCATAAGCAGGAGCAGGCCCTTCGTCGGTACCCTCACTCTCTTCGGAATATGACGTCATCTGCCATCGCCGTCGAGCTGGAGGAGGAGACA